GGGGGTATGTACTAATGTATTCTCCAAGATTATTGCATACTGCATGGCAAAAATCCAGGACAATTTTACCAACAGTACTACGGCCAACGCCGAATAAACTGCAAACTGTCCTGTACTCCGCTGCCGAGCCCAAAGAGAAAAGTGCGATAGCCACTCTCTTATCGAGTGGAATACAACGCCTCATGTTGTTATCCATTTTCTCAATACTGCGCACTTTATCGCACACTTTTTGGAAACCCCTTCTATCGAGACGAAAGTTTTCCCTAAATCTTGTATCATCCATTGCACGGACGTCGTACTCCCAAAATGTGACACTGCGATTCTTGAAGGGTGGAATTCATGAATTGCAGTTTAATAAAAAAGACATAACTTACGAATTTCCAAACTTCCCGTACGCGTGCCTGAGCAATTGCAATCCCGGATTGTAGGATTGCGCTACTGTTTATGAGAGCTTTCATCCGAGTTCGGTTGTCCATTAGTTTAATTAATAGTAGTTTCATTTTTTCATTAAATAAATATTGATTTTTTACAAACAGCATAGCTGCCAATAACAACATTTTTCTTTTATCCATTTTAATTTCACAATTTTAGCAAACAAAATGTACGTCAATATCAGCTGTTTAAATGCACAGAGTTGTCGTCTGTTAGGGTGATATTTTAAGTTGCATTTGTGCTTCTGAATGCAAATCAACTCAGTCCGTTTGTCTAGGCTTTAACAATCCTTAATACCTAAAATCAACTGAGCAGATTTTTCATAAATTATTAGCCCTACTTAGGAAAATGGTAAAATATTTTCGAAATTTTGTTTTTTTTATCACAAAAGGGAAAAATTTTGGTTTTATTTCAAAATTAACCGCTATTAAAAAATGTATTATCCATTAATACACTAGCCCAATAAAGATTATGTATGCAAATATTTTTTGGAATATAGATTTTTTTAAATTTTTTTGTTTTCAACAATTTGTTATTAGGCCATAAAATAGCAAAAACGATTTTTTTCGCCAACTGCATATTTCATTCCAATAATTACCCTTTTAGGAAAAGTATAAGAATGCAGTTATGTAGCGCATTTTCTTCCAAACAAAGATGCTCGACAAAATTTTCATATGAATAAAATGACTAATACCTAAAAAAAAAAAAATAAAACAAAACAAGCTTGCACTTTATTATCCTAAAATTGAATAGGCTGCCAAACTCCGTCCACGAAATTTTTTTAGAAAACATTATTAATATTAACTTATACACTACCAGTCACTTAGTATATGCTTTCAAATGCTTTCATTTTCAATATCATTTTGCCCCAATATGCGCTTTAGCTATTTTTGTTAAATAAACTAGCGCAAATACTCTAAATTACAGCTAGGTTCAATATCCAAGCCTCCTTCATTTTTTGTACTAGGCGCAAATTCAAATTTGATTATAATTTTCTAGATTTTCTAATGCAATGTTATATGCATCAATTGAGAAAAAAACTAATGGCGATTCTCGATTTTTTTGGATCCATTCACGGATCGAATCGGCACTAAAAAATCTAATCGGAAGGGCTCGATTAATCGGTCTTCGATTTAATCGATTTAAAAACGGCATCTCTAGTACATAACGTTTGTAATTGAAGCATTGCTCGATGCTAGCTCTTTGCTTTGCTCTCGCCGCTCCACTATGTACGTACGTTTCATAAATATGCTTCTCTTGCCAATCGTACTTTGTTTGGAAAACACATTTTAGATTCCACTGAAAGGCTGACTTCCAAAACGTATCAATACAATGTTTGGATACTGTTATACTGCGGTATTCAAACTGTTTGTATATGCAAAGTTGCGACACATTGCAACCATATAGGTACATTGCATATTTAAAATATTCAATATAGCACAGAACAATTTTTCTGAATTTTCCATTTTTAAAACACTAATGTTAACCAATAACAAACGAAGCATCAACTTTGTTTCTGATGGGCTGATTGCTCTAGCGATGCGTTTCGATAACTTTTGGGATGCGCTTTGGAAAAGTATACTTTAGTTGCGTTCGTGTACCTGTTAATTGTTCAAAGTTCACTAAAACTTTCAGGTTTTTGCGTTCGCGTATGCAAAAAACTTGCAAAGTAGAGGAAATTGAGAGAGCAAAGTGACATTTGATTTTTGAGTAAATTTTTGGCAAGTATGAGGTGGCCGCTGTGGGGTAGTGGTTAGCAGTGCGCGCTACCACTCCGCAGGGCCTGGGTTCAAGCCCTGGTCAAAGCAACATCGCAAAAAATTATAGAAAAACGGTTTTTTCTTAACAGCGGTCGCTCCTCGGCTGGCAAACCTCCGAGTATATTTCTGCCATGAAAAACAACTTCTCATAAAAATACAATCGCCGTTCCGAGTCGGTGTAAAACTGTATGTCCATCCCCTTTGTGTAACAACATCAAGGCCTACGCCGCAAATTGGAGGAGAAGTGCGGCCAAACACTAACATATGTAGAAGCGCCAAACTAATCTTAATGTGAGGAAAATAAAATTCCCATAGTAAATGACAAATGCATAGAAAGTTTTAACAATCGCGAAGATTGTTGATGGCAAGGCGAATTCATTTAAGCTCTGTATTCATACAGTTCTATGCGGGCGTAAAAGTGAATCTATGGTGAACGTTCACAAAGGCAAAAATTCCCTTTGCATTCTTTTGCACGCTCACAAACATCTGTCAAATTGGATCTACATATATTCAACAAATTCAGAGATCCTAATTCGAAATGTGCCTTGGTGAAAACGTGAACTTGTCGCTCACAAACGAATGATTTACGTGCTTTTAAATTCCTTTTCTGAAAGATATTTTAATTCTCTATCGGTTGATATATTACCTATTGCAAACAGTGAAGTGATAAGGAAGATATTGGTCAAAATAAAAAGTTCACGTTCACGTGAATAGCGTGTGACAGTTTTGCCAACTTGTGAGATTTCGCTGATAATTTGGGATTTTCGCACCGTAAAAGGGCCCGTGGGATTTTGCATCTTATTATGGCATTTCTAGATAAATACGATTTTTTGGTTTATCTGCTTTTCAGTCATTGCCTCCGTACCGCGTAAGCCCGCGGGTACGGGCCGGAATATTTGCTGTCAGCACGAACTCGTGCGGGCCTGGGCGTTCAATAAAATTTCTTAAAAGCACGAAAAGGCACGAAAAAGCCCGTTGCTAATACTAAAAATTTAGATGAGCTTTTGTTTTTATACAAAAAAAAATAGTATATTTAAAACTCTTTTAATAAGAGAAAAGCAAAAAAAAAAATATTTGGAAACCGATAGAAAAAATATGATACTTAGGGCCGTTTTCTCATCTAACCTTTAGTTTACCGGCCACTTTATCGTCTCGATATACGAGTTTTCGTTTTCTCATCAGCGCATTAATTTCTCGAATCGATAAACTGTTGCTCACCCGATGCAACCTTTAAAATTTGTACCCAACTTTAAATTTTGGTTTGGTTTTGGTTCATGAGTCAGATATATTAGATATTTCAACCAAGGTTTTGGTTTTTGCTAACAGTTGCTCTTGCTCTATATTTGCTTATGTTGCATTGCCAACCTTTGAAATTTTATGACGAATGTAGTGAAGTTTCACTCTCGGAAATGTAGTGAAGTTTCACTCTACGGAATAACAAATTTATTTTTACAGGTAAGATAAGAAAACGAAAACACTTTAAAGTGAGGAACAATTTATCTGCCCTGTTAGTAAAGGCAACTTTACTGCTTACATTAGAAAATGGCCCTAAGTAGTTTTGTTTACATACATATCTGTACATAAAATACCTTCCACTTATTCTACTTCCCAGTAAATATTTTATAAAAATCTTTGATGATGATTAAGCTGGCATTTCAGGGTACTATTTTATATATATACAAGGAAAATTTGAAAGTTAGGGGGGCTCGAGCACCCCCCTGCCCCTACATGGCTACGCCCATGCTACTCAGTATCGGACTCATTAAAATACGTTTTTTGGGATACTAAGATTATTTTATTCTTCAATGCTATATCTAGTTATTTCCTGAAATTAAAACAATAGAAATTTAAAATATTTGATTTTTATTCCATTGCAGAACTTANTTAAAATACGTTTTTTGGGATACTAAGGGCCGTTTTCTAATGTAAGCAGTAAAGTTGCCTTTACTAACAGGGCAGATAAATTGTTCCTCACTTTAAAGTGTTTTCGTTTTCTTACCTTGCCGGTAAAAATTAATTTGTTATTCCGTATAGTGAAACTTCACTACATTTCCGGGAGTGAAACTTCACTACATTCGTCATAAAATTTCAAAGGTTGGCAATGCAACATAAGCAAATATAAAGCAAGAGCAACTGTTAGCAAAAACCAAAACCTTGGTTGAAATATCTAATATATCTGACTCATGAACCAAAACCAAACCAAAATTTAAAGTTGGGTACAAATTTTAAAGGTTGCATCGGGTGAGCAACAGTTTATCGATTCGAGAAATTAATGCGCTGATGAGAAAACGAAAACTCGTATATCGAGACGATAAAGTGGCCGGTAAACTAAAGGTTAGATGAGAAAACGGCCCTAAGATTATTTTATTCTTCAATGCTATATCTAGTTATTTCCTGAAATTAAAACAATAGAAATTTAAAATATTTGATTTTTATTCCATTGCAGAACTTACTTTCACTTTAGAAATAATTTTAACGTTAAATATACATACATACATATATATATATATATATTCATGAATTTCAAATTGTATTAAGAAATTTTTGTAAACTTTTTAGGTACCTATGCATTTTTGTAGGCTATTCAATTTTCGTATAATAGTTTGAATTAAAAGTCAACGGTAGTAGGCTATACGTAAAGTTGAATAGGTTACAAAACTGCATACCCAAAAAGTTTCTAAAAATGCTGCATTTTCGTGAACTTTGCGTAAAGTTCTACGGCTTTATTCATAAAAAATAAAAAAGATTTATAAACTGAAAAATGTATGAAAATGTCATTTTATAAAGCTCTTTAAACCTACTTTATTTTCTACGAATAAGGTCATTAAACTTTAACTTATTTGGTTTATGTTATGCAACAGACNCATTTTCGTGAACTTTGCGTAAAGTTCTACGGCTTTATTCATAAAAAATAAAAAAGATTTATAAACTGAAAAATGTATGAAAATGTCATTTTATAAAGCTCTTTAAACCTACTTTATTTTCTACGAATAAGGTCATTAAACTTTAACTTATTTGGTTTATGTTATGCAACAGACTACACGCAATTTCACTTTATTTTGAGTGATGGACAAAATTAAATGATAGTAATCTATATAAGCAAAGAAAATTGGATTGCCAATCGAAGAAAAAATTTAAAAAGTGTGTTTTTTAAAAAGTATTCGATACTACGAGTACTTTGCAAAGTATAGAGTTAAATCAACCAATAAGGTATCGAGTATTAAAGTACTCATTTTTATACCCTTAGTTTCGATACTTACTCAATATCGATAGTATCGTTCGAACCCTAGTCCTACTCCTCCTGAGGTCAGAAGAAGGGAGATAAGAGCACGCACACAAAAAACTGGTCCACCTTATGAAAGCCGTTTCGATCTATAAAAGGA